TAAACAAGTATTATATTTAAGGATGATTCTATACCATTCTGATGAAGGTGATCGAGGGACCACCATACTCTGAAAATACTGCCCAGGCTTTCACCAAAGGTATAATCAGCTACCCCTGGGAATGTTCTCTGTTTCGAATTCTGGCTCTGCCATCTCATATCCGATCTTGAGGATACTAACCCCTCTGTACCTCAATTTCTCCATCTGTAAAATGGAGGAAAAGTACTTACTTTATATGGGTTCTGAGAATTAAAAGAAGTTAAGACAGGTCATTTCTGGGGGCTGAGGTAAACAGGGACAGAGCTGGGCAGCTTTGGGAACACAGCTCTCTATTTAGCTGGATTTGGTCCTGTAATAAGGCAGTCGTGCAACTGTTTCCCTGGTGTCATTCCCTTAGCCTCCTGCCCCATTTCCCCACCCGCTCAAGGGCCACCACAATCACTGTTAGAACAAACTTTATTTCCATGCGGTTTGTTGTGAAGAAAAAAAATACTGAATGTGTGCTATACACATACTTTCTTCTAGTGGATATTAATGTTTAATGTATAAAGGTTGAACAATAAAAATATGTTTTTAAATCTTATTAGATTCTATTAGTTATTTCTAATCAGCAGGCCTAAAACTCCATCTTTCTAAAAACTAGATCCGTGATGACACCCAGTGGCCAAAATGTTAACCACTGAGATTTTAAAAATATGTGTTTTCCCAAGCATACAAATACTTAACATTGCATCTACTTTACCTTTACAATTTGAGAAAAATTCAATAATGAAGCATGAAATAGTCCTGCATGAGGAATATCATCAACAAAATGTGGACAAACCAATATCCTTTAGTACTGTTTTTAGTAGTACAACTTCCACAACCAGTTCAGGCAGAGAAGAGTACCAGGTCATCAAAGGTGCCATTCTAATAAAAATGTTTAAATTTGAAGAAAGCGATTTGTAACAATGTGTGGCAAATAAACACAGAGACTGTTAAGATTTCACAATAGTCACACTTGGTCCTTTAAACAATTAGGAAATAATGAACAATTCAGCTAAGGATTGGAGCAAAAATAGAATGTTGGGGAATCAGCTAGAATTGTAAGAAATATTAACCATGCTGTTAACCGTGGTTGTTTTGATTAAAGAAGGCACATTCTAACCTGGCTGGCAGCCTCACTCAGGACCTGAGAGCTCACAGGGAAGTTTAGCCCTTCCTCCCCATTTGGAGCTGCCTATTATCATGGAAAGATTAACAACTTTGTTGAGAAACCAGAATTGCCAGCCCTTTGAAGACCCCAGCCCTTGCATATCTCTAAGCCCTTTGAAGACCCCAGTTCTTTTGCATATCTGTACACTGCCCATTTGACCTTTAGTCTTCTTTTCCATGTAATCTTCGTTCTTCTACCAATATAAGCAGCCGGCTTATGGTGGGGTGGAGAGCAGATTTTTGTGGATGACCTGCTGCTCTCCCATATTGCCAGAAATCTATATATATAAAGAGCCAGGGGCCATCACATCTAAAACAACTGAACAGACAACTGAACAGGCTGAGTGGGGTGACAGGGCTGGCAGGGGGGTTAATGAGGGACAACCAAATGACTGAGCAGCAGGCTGCGTGGGGCGACCAAGCCAACAGGAGGGTTAGTGAGGGATGACCAAACAACTGAACAGCAGGCTGCGTGGGGTGACCAGGCCAGCAGGGGAGGTAGTGAGGGACGACCAAATGACTGAACAGCAGGCTGTGTGTGGTGACCAGGCTGGCAGGGGGGGCAGTGAGGGGCGACCAGGTTGGAAAAGGGGGGCAGTGAGGGGTGACCAGGCCAGCAGGAGGGGCAGTTGGGGGCAACCAGGCTGGCAGGGGGGCAGTTAGTGTTGATCAGGTCAGCAGGCAGAGGCAGTTAGGGGTGATCAGGCTGGCAGGCAGGCAGGTGAGCAGTTAGGAGCCAGTGGTCCTGGATTGTGAGAGGGTTGTCCGACTGCCGGTTAGGCTCAATCCTGGGGATGGGGCCAAAACCGGCAGACAGACATCCCCTGAGGGGTCCTGGATTGGAGAGGGTGCAGACTGAGCTAATGGGGCCTCTAGTATTTGAATGAACGCTCATATATGATTCAACCCTGTCTCTACTGAATTGGCTCAAGTAGTGACAGCAGGGAACCATTGTTTGTCCAGTTACAGTAACAGTCATTACTTTGTCAGATTGGCACAGGATCTATTCTTTTGTAGATTCAGTCACTTACTCACTCAAGAAATATTTCCTTGTTTCCCAGATTGAGAAGTAGACTCTGAGAGGGAGATTAGTATCCAATGGAGTTCATGTAACCTACTTATGTCTCCTCCTTTGATGGTAATTTATAAAAATAGGTGAAAAACCGCCATTCTCCAGAGCATTGTCTCAATGTTTGTGAGTTTGGCTCAAATAAACACAAAAATTCTTTACGGATTTTAATGTTTCTTACATTAACAGTCTGAATCTGATGAATGCTCTCTTTCAATTTTTATTATTTTTTAAAAATATTTTTTTATTGATTTTAGAGGGGAAGGGAGAGAGGGGAGCCAGAGATAGAAACATCAATGATGAGAATTATTGATCGGCTGCCTCCTGCACACCCCGTACTGGGGATCAAGCCCACAATTTGGGTATATGCCCTTGACTGGAATCAAACCTGGGACACTTCAGTCCGCAGGCCAACACTCTATTCACTGAACCAAACCAGCCAGGGCTACTCTCTCTCTTCAGACTGATTTCTCTTGCCTTTTGATGTACTTTATAACTTTTTTATTGTTGTTGAAAGTCATATATGTTGTTGGGTAGTAGGTACCAAGACAAATTGGTCTTTAGTGTTCACTAATCTTACTGGGAATTGGGCTGTATTTAATGTTTCTTCTACCAGAGACTTCAAATTCCCCGAGTCCTTAGTTTTTACTTGAGGACTTTCTTTTGTATTGCCTCTCAGTAAAAGTTTGTGCTCTGTAGCCTTTTCAGCTGTATACCACTGTTATTGTACTGGCTACATACTGGTGTGGTGCAGGGTGTGAAAGAGAAGCCTACGTCTTGGTCTATTACTGGGCTTGTTCTGGGAGTATGGCCTTCACTAGGATTTCTTCACTAGCGTTCACTACCCCCTGCTCCTACTTCCTTTCTTGCCTGCAGCATTCCCAATCTATTTCCTTGGGGTCCTCTCCTTTCTGTTGATTAGGGAGTTTTTCCCTCGTCTAGGTGAGAGGAAGGCTGGAGTGGCTGGAATAGAGCAGAGTTCCCTTCTCCCAGTTGGGTAAGTTTTCAGTATTGCCTTCTGGAGAGATGTCCTTCCTATTGGAGAGGAGGCCTCTGTTAGGAAGAGTCTGGGAGAGTTTCACAATGGCTACTCCCCTCCTGTCAGGACCATAGGGGAAATTTCCTCAGATCTTCAGATCCATCATGAGAGAACCTGCTGGCATTTCTGGAGGGAAGTCTCCCCAGCCCCCCATGACTGTGGCCTTCAGGAGTTTCTTGCTCTCACATTAGTCCACACTCAACCTCTAGCAATTCACCAAAATTATAGTTAAGTGTTGATTAGCTATGCCACCAAGCAGCTTTAGCTCCAGGTAAACAAGTGTCAGGTGTGGTATCTCTCTGGCTGTACCTGTCTCTTCAGATTTGGAGTGGTTGTTTGCCCTCAGACTTCAGTTCAGAAAAGTTATTAAGTTTTAGTATTTCCAGTTTTTCTTGTTTCGAGGAAGGGATTGGCAACTTCTAAGTTCTTTACGTATCAGAACTGAACGTGTCTTTTTTACTAAGATGCAGTACTATTAGGAATGTAGGAAATAGAAGTCACAATGAGGAGTTAACTTGGCTTTGGGTCACTGAAATGAAACAAGAACTCCAGTATAATCTATACTATGCACAGTATTTATTCTGGGAGGTATTTTGGTAGGAGCTCTTTGAGGAATGAGTGATTTATGTATTGGTTAAAGGTAGGACTCAAGAAGAATAGAAGGCATTGTAGGAGAATTACACAGAATAGCTCAAGGGACCCTCAGGATCAGTAGGAACCAAGCTGGAAATATTAGGTTGTGTCTAGAGTATGTTTGGACTGAGGAACATTTTACCACATTCTGTGGTCAGCCTGGAGTCACTAAAAAATTTTGTAAGGATAGCAGCAAATGCGGACAACTAAACCTAATGATAACATTGGATAAACTGAATGGACACTGAGTAGTAAGTTGAAGCATGCTCAAGATTTGGTGTCTGACTAGAGATGAAAAGGAAAAATAGTGAAAGACTGTGATTTCTCAATGATAAAATCAGACATTTGAGAGGTGAAACCCAGGAGTCTGGTTCATGAGGAGTTTGAAGTGCAACCAGAACTCACAGCAGAGATTAGAGGCTACAGCTGAAACTGAATAGAGATGTGGTCTCTGGGAAGAACTGGGGTTAGAACCTTTGCGATATGCACATTTAAGGGATAGGAGAAAATAGTCAGCTGTGGAAAAGCCAGAAAGATGGGAGTAAAACCAGGACAAGATGGTAAGAAGATTAAGATAAAAGATAATCCTTCTTTTCTCCCAATGACTGTCTGGCTTATAGAGGGCAGACTCTGAACTGTACAAATTTAACTAGGTGTGACAAAGGAAAACAGCTTCCAGCATAGCTTGGCCTGAATGAATTGCTTCTTGCCAGAGTTTTATATAAATTGTTTTTTTACTTGAAATAGATGCAAATGTCCCACAGGAAATGGTTAGTTTATTAGGTAAATGTCCATATTTATGAGATAATGTCCGATTCTTAGAATCTAACTAGGTAGGAGAGTAATTTGTGGTGGCTATAAAATTGTGATGAGAGCCAAATTTAGTATACATAATTACCATGACCTCAAGGTAACTGCAAACAATCTTCACAAGATTTCTTTGGATTATCTGCACTTTGTATATGTGCTATCATCAGGAGTTTTACACCTAGTAGTTAGTTTCTCACACTCATTGCATGGTCAGTGTTTAAAGGAATCAGAGCATGTTCTATAGCAACAAGGCAGTTTTCATCAAGTCTGTGAAATGTATTTTTTAATTAATAGAAGAGCATGTCTTACCAGATACACTGCCCCCAAATAAATAAAATATCAGCATCATCAAAAGCACACAAACACACAGTTTTACAGGGTACAATACAAAGTCAATTTTGATCATGTTCTTACTTGCATTTACTAAAAATGTGAGAAAGACTGTAAATCAATCTCTAAATAATTATCTTGCATAAAGAGAAAAGTACAGCACGATTATTTCACAGAAGGTTTTGGAGAGACAACTTGAGAAGACTTTGCTTTAAAAGATATGAAGATATATCACAAATCAAGTCACATTGTCTATAACATTAAAACATGGAATTGTACTTAAAAATAAAAGTAAAATAGCTGAAGAAGGCTGTATACTTCTCCCCCACATTATACTAACTTCTATTTTTGGCAGGAATTAACAACCTTTTCCATTAGTAGGAAAATGTGCTCTGCAAACTCTCGGAGGGCACCCCGGCCACCATTACACTTGCAAATATACCCGACAGCCTTCTGGGCCGCGGAACAGGCATCAGCGGGAACAGCACTGAGGCCCGCTTTCTTCAGGCACTCCTCATCAGACACTTCATTTCCTACCGCAGAAAAGAAACATGGTTGACCATTTAAAGAGACAAAGAATATTCTTTCCAAATGATGCAAACAGCAAACAATAAGTAATTCTAGTAAGTTTAGTAACCCAAAGTACTGTATATACTATAGCTCAGATGGAACAAAAATATGTTAGAGTATTTAAAAGTATAATTGAGGTGTAGGGTTTTTCCTGAGCAATTCAAATAAACTATCAGTCAAAGGAAGAAAATGGAGTATACTTTCTGCTTGCCATGTACGTTAAAATTACTATGAATTATTTAAAAGTTCAAATATATGCAACAACCTCAAGTTCTTATAGAATAATTATCAATGTTTTGGATCATTTATCAATATTTTTTCTCTATTTCCTGCCACCTTGCTTTTTGGAGGGGAGAAAGAAATCCCAGATATATTTTACCCCCAAAACTTTTCAGCATTTATCTATGATATATATTTTTTTTAAAAAGTGACACAGTATGATCAAACTAACAAAATCAACGGTTCTTTAATATCACCTAATAATCTAGTACGTATTCAAAATCCTCAGTTCTCTCAAAATTGGTTTTTTAGTTGATTTTTGTGAATCAGAACCTAAACAGGTTCCACATATTACATTTTGTTGATATGTATCTTTTTCTTTTTTTGATATGTATCTTTTTAAAAAATATATGTTTTTATTGATATTTTTAGAAAAAGAAGGGAGAGGGATAGAGTGATAGAAACATCATTGAGAGAGGAACATCACTGATTGGCTGCCTCCTGCAAGGCCCCTATTGGGGATCCAGCCTGCAACCTGGGCATGTGCCCTGACTGGTAATCAAACTCTTGGGTCAATGCTCAACCACTGAGCCACATCCAGGGGCTGCTGTTGATATGTATCGTAAGTCTCTTTTAATTTGTAATAGTTCTGATTTGAGTAACACTTATTTGTTGAAAAATTACCATTACAACTAACATAACTACATCCCTTCTCACCTTGCCTTGCTTCTTCTCAACTCCCCCTTTTTTGACAGAATAAATTTCAGAAGCTCCCAGTACCTTAGATTCCCCATTCTGAGTATAACTATTATTATAGTACAGAGCAAAAACAAATAATAACATGTTGTTTAAGAGTTTGTTTTATATTTTTCTACATTTATCTAGTCAAAATTTTCTCTTATTGGTAAATGTACTGAAATTTAAATTGTTTTCACTGAAAGATGATTAAAGTTAGGGTATTTCTTTGTATTACCCATCCCTCAAATTAAGCTTTACTTACTAAATTTTACGTATAAAAGTGTCAATATTTTAAGGAACACATTGTTATATATTTATGTGGTCCATATAAAACACTGCTCTTTTTAAATAAAAATTTGGAGTTCCTTCTCTATTTTACCAATTTTCTAACTATTACTTTTTACACTTTTTTCTTATGTTATATAAATAATGCATATCAAGAAACATTTTTTAAATAAAGGCTAAAATATTCAAAATCATCCTAATTGCCACTATTTATGAACAGTCAGTACATTTTTGCATATATTATAAATAAGAAAACTAAGGTTTAGAGAAGCTTGCTTAGGGTCACACAGATAATAAGTATAGCTGGGATTTGTTATATGTTCCAATAAAATTGTTCTCTTCTTACAAAACCTGGACCATTTTCTATCAAAGGCTCTATAATGCCCTGACCGGTTTGGCTCAGTGGATAGAGCATCGGCCTGCGGACTGAAGGGTCCCGGGTTCGATTCCAGCCAAGGGCATGTACCTTGGTTGTGGGCACATCCCCAGTAGGAGGTGTGCAGGAGGCAGCTGATCGATGTTTCTCTCTCATTGATG